ACATAAAGCCCTAACTGGACAGAGAGCATGTAGGCGCTCCTGTTCAGGGGAGGAGAAAGGAGGAGGGCAAAAAGCTTCCAGCTCCAATGGGGTGCATTGGAGATAAGGATTTTTGGGCACAAAGGCCGGATTCGCCCTTTGCAAGAGAGAAAATCACTCTGTGAAATCTGGGAGGGGTGGTTGCGAATTGTAAACGATAGTCTCGCTCTAATGTCCTCACAACCCATTCTGGCGCAGCGACAGCTCGCCATCTCTCTATTCTTGCTGACAGCGGACCCAAAGACAGGCACTCCACAGTAGACGGGGCCCTGGCTCCCTCTTGTGGCGGAAACTGGTCCTGCGGGCCAGATCCGACTGCGCGGGCGGCCCACGCTTGACCAGTGCTCATGGGGCCGGACACCACTGAGGGAATCGACCCCGGTGGTGTCTGGGTGCGTGGGGGCATTATGCTTTTCAACATACTCTGTGTTTTTCACACATTTTTCCCGTGCCCATGGCAACATGCCTGGATGCAACAGGTGAATTTTTAATAAACAGTGTGTTTTTGTGAGACTGTGACATGCTTGATTCAGCTGAACAGTGTCTCGTCATCTCTTTGTTGAAATGCGCTCTGTGGGATCCAACTCGAGTCCCAGGCGCTGAAAGGTGGAGGCAGAACAAATTTCTCCGAACGGGCTCCGGAACTGAGCCCTGGAGTGAACTTGGAGCCCGGGCTGGTCCGGCTCCGATCTCCCCGTGGGGGATGTTAGGCAGTCCGCTTCTTCTTGCAGTCCGACTTCTTGGCTGGTGGTGGGGCACTCTGAGTGGCAGCAGGCGGGACATGTTGTGGTAGATGCTGCCTTTTTTAGTGCTAAAGTCTATGATCCATAAGTTCCTTTGCGTAACTGGGATCGCTGGCTAGACCCTCTGTTATTTCCAGCGCAGGAGGTGCCCCAGGGCTCCACAGGATTTTCTCCCTTTGAGTTACTGTTTGGCAGGAATAGGGATGGGTACCGGTGTCCGGTGCCATGATGGCACCGGTTCTGACATAAACGGTAGTAACCAGACCGAAAAGCAGCGCACATTTCGGTGCTTTATTTCGGTGCTTTTTTTTCCTGAGCTGTGATAGACTTCTAGCCAATCATTTTACGTTTCCGAGGATAGTAGGCGTGGCCAGGTACGTACGTTCTTTTAGAGCAGAGCTACAGATTAAAAATGCCCAAGGCGAAGCGGTCAAAAGTCTGGCTGTACTTCACAGCAAAATATGCAAACTCAGCAGCAACAAGTGCTTTAAGCTGATACTGTGATACTGTCAAAGGAGGCAACACCTCAAATCCGATTAAACAGCTGGCGACGCATAGTGTTATTTTTTAAAAGCCCAGAAATGCGCCGTATTTGATAGCTTGCTGCGAGACCTCACACCGAGCACATCTACTGCGGGTGGGTTGCCTGTTATGCAACATCCCCCAAAAACACGAAGAGGAGAGTCCTGGCCCCTAGCCCTGCCAGTGTAGCAGAAATGATGAGGATGATGATGCAGCAGCAGCCGTTCTTCTCTGCATGAGTAGCTTAATGTTGTTCGTGTGTAATTTACGTTGAGTAGGCTAACCACGTTATTACATTAATGCATGTAAGGTGAACTAGCAAACATTATCATAGCTACATGCTGCTGTCTTCTTGTTTGATGGCAGATACTCCCTTCACCCTGGCCAAAAAGGCTAAAATGACCAAAGAAAAAGAGGGAAACAGCTAAACATGAGAGGTTTTTGGACAAAGTTTGTGTTTTTTCCATTGTTTAAGCACTGCTTCCAGCCAAGAGTGATACCATATATGCCCCATAGCTGCAGAAAAGGCTAACATTGTTATCTTTTTACAAAAAAAACAGCTGAACATGAGAGGTTTTTGGACCAATTTTGTGTTCTCCATTCTTTAAGCACCGGTTTGAGCACCGTTTAAGCACCGGCACCGTTTCAAAAGTACCGATTTGGCACCGGTATCAGATAAAACCTAAACGATACCCATCCCTAGGCAGGAAGCTGCGGGGGGTGTTGGACCTGATTAAAGAAAACTGGGAGGAAAGTCAGAGGCTGGCTGAAAAGGAGAATCAGCACGACCTGGACCTGCAAGCAAAGCTGCTCACTTTGGGGAGGTTGTCACAAGAAAATTTGCTCCAGGCCCAGGAACATCAGCAGCGCTTGTACAACAGAGGGGCTAGGTTCAGGTAATTTTTACCAGGAGATAAAGGGTTGTATTCCTCCCTTCTAAAACTTCAAAGTTACTCACCAAGTGGGGAGGACCTTTCATGGTCACACGGCGAATGTGGGACGTAGACTATGAGGTGGTATGGTCAGACAGAGGTGGAACCACACAGATATTTCATGTTAACCTCCTTAAAGCATGGAGAGAGGCTGAAACCACTTCTCTGGTTAGCCTGGTTAAGGAAAGAGAACAGTTGTGGTCAGTGGTGCTGAATTCCTCTATTCCTGCCTCCCTCCATTGAGATGACCATCTCACACAGGCCCAGAGAGCAGATGTTGCTGCATTGCAACAGCGGCTTGCAGAGCGGTTTGTTCTTCTCCAAGCACAACAGACAGACTGTTCAAAAGGAATTGGCACAAATGCTAAAGCTGCAAGGTGAACTTGGTCTCATGGTTTGATGCTTATCCCATGCCCTAGATGGATGAGCTCCTTGACCGGTTAGGCACTACTTACTTTTTATGATGCTGGATTTAACCAAGGGCTACTGGCAGATTCCTTTGTCTATGGAAAAAACGGCCACCCAATACGGTTTGTACGATTTTGTCACACTTCCGTTTGGCTGGTTTGGAGCCCCTGCCACTTTCCAGTGCCTCATGGACCGGGTGCTGCATATGCTGCCGCCTACCTGGAGGATGTTATCATCCATGACGACACCAGAGCGGAGCATGTGTAGCAGGTGGCCGCAATCCTGGAGTCCCTGAGGCAGGAGGCACTCACGGCCAACCTAAAGAAGTGTGCAGTTGGACTGAGGGAGTTACAGTATTTAGGGTACCACTTGGGAAGCGGGCAGGTGCCTTCACAGATGGATAAAACAGCAGCCATTGCATCTTGCTCGTGTCCTAAGATGAAAAAGGAGGTGAGGCGGTTTTTGGGGCTGGCCGGTTACTACCGCCAGTTCGTGCCCATTTTGCAGAGGTGACCAGCCCCCTTGACAGACCTCAGCCGAAAGGGTGCCCTAGATCTGGTCCGGTGTAGGAAGCAGTGCCAGGCTCCATTTGTGCAGTGGAAGAAAGCTTAACAGAGGGCTGGGGGGTATTTTGTCACAGGAGGTAACAGCTGGAAACTGTCAGAGTGGGATGCCGGGTACAGGACCATGGAAAAGGAGTGCTTGGCCATCCGGTGGGTGGTCGACTGCCTATGTTATTACCTCCTGGGCCACCGTTTCACCCTCTGATCACGCGCCACTGCAATGGCTCCACCGCATCAAGGATGCCAACACCCAGATCACACGGCGGTATCTGGCCCTCCAGCCTTTAAAGTTCAAAGTGACTTTACTGGAAGCAGGGGTGCAGATGATCCTGGCAGATTTCCCCTCCCACTCTAGGGGGAGGTGGGCGCGGATGGGTCCCCGCCCTAAGTTGGGTGGTGGGGGTGTGTAGCGGAGTGTGGTTGGTGGCTTCTATGCAGGGGAGGAGTGGAGCAGTGGGTTCAGGGTGTGGTGTCAAGGAAGGCTGGTTTTCGCAGCCGGTGAGCATCATCTAATCATGCATTCTGTATTTCAGAAGCAGCTGGACTGGAGAGGAGAGAGCGCTGCTGGAGCAGAGAGCCAGCTGCAGTGCTGCTGAGCATTGTGCACTGCAAAGTGCTGAAGCGCAGAGACCGCAGGTCATTTGGGTTACAGTTAGGTTTAGGATAAGGGCTAGGGTTAGGCATTCACTTTTGATGGTTAGGTTTAGGGTAAGCGGCTAAGGAAATCCTTATGTCAATTAGATGTCCTCATTAAAATATAAAAAACAAATGTATGTGTGTGGTTGTGTAGGTGTGTACGCAGATGCTTGAGGGGAGTGTTTAAATGTGTGGGGGTAAACACCAGGGGTGGGTTTTGATTATCGATTTATCGATATTGATCTCAATCTCCTGGACTGGAGATCCAGGACAGTAGATATAAAAATATAGATATGTACTGATAAGTGATCAGAATTATAATATTTCTGACTGTCTGAGGAAAAATTTACCTGATTCAAATCGAATCGAATCAATTCAGGACCTTGTGAATCGGAATTGAATCGATTCTAGAAATCAGTGATGATACCCAGCCCTAGTAAACACATGCGCATGCTTAGAATTTTACATCTAATAATCTCTCAACTATTAAAGTAACTGGTGAGCAGTAAATAAAAACCAGGGACAATTTTACTAACTAAAGAAAGGCACATTGGTCCATTAATGTAACCAAATAAACAATACATATTGAATACCAAAATGACTAAACTGACTAAAATTAACTTGCATCTCATTGTGTTGGAAAAGAAGCAAATGCAAAGACAGAAACATCCATCATGTCACGTTTATAAATGGGTGTGACTTTAAGCTGAAGGCCAATATAATATACCATTGTAAAATTTTAATAAAACAGAAAACATTAGAATATGTTGGTTTCACCTGAAATATTTATTTAGGATCGCTTTTGGAAGAATCAATTTAAACAACCCATCAAACCAGGAGTCAATGGCAAAGACTGGGTACTTGTTAAAAAAACGCAAAAAGAACTACAAAAAAACATCTGAGCAGCATACTAGCTAGACATGAAAAAATATATACCCACCCATTCCCCTAGTGTGGTTGAAGTCCCCTGTCACTATTTTACAGGACCGTCCATCTCCATTACAAACACCGCAGCGGTCCTCTTTAGCAGATGAGCCAATGATGCTGTCACAGCCGATTTTCTGTCCATAACAAAACAAAACCCAACTGTAAAATGGAGGAAGTACATTACAATTTACATCTTTGTATGCATATGTAAAATTATATCCTTAGGTCAACACACAGCAGTCGCCTAAAGGATTGTATATTACCTTGAGCATGGAATGAGTTTACCACAATATTAACAAATGAAATAAATGGTATAATTAACCATAATTTAACAGTAAATAATTGAGGTCTTTTTATTGTTTTATTGTTAGGACTGAAAAAGAACAGGAATTTCTTAGGTAAACAGAAACTGCAGCCCATTAAAAAAAGATCAATATTAATTAGTCTATTTCTTTGCCTCTCTCCTAGCATGCCATTACTCACATGCCAGGATTTAAAAAAAATAAGCCTCCCACTATGGCGTCATTTTTGTGCCACTATTCTGAGCGCACGTAAAAACTATTTGCAGGTGCAAGTGTTGCATTTTGAGGAGAAATTTATTTTGAGAGAAGAAAAGCTAAATTTGAGTGAACAAACTTCATTGCTGCCTGCAAAAAATGTATTTCAGTGTTTGCTATTATCCACACAGACACAGCAGCCCCTCTCGCTCAGTTTTTGCATTTGCGCTCGCTCGCAACGTGTTGCTCACGCTCTCAACATTTCTGCCTGTGGACGTTCAACTCTTTCTCTACACTGTTATGTTTGTGCCACAAAACCAGCCAATCACAGACTTGGATGCAAAAAAATCTGATTGGTTGTTTTGGTCTCCAATCAGCTCGAAATGACGAACTGCAGCATCCCAGAATGCATTTCGTCCAACACTCAAACGAGGCAGTGGCGGAGGGACGCACAATGGCGGAGTTTGAAATATTACTCTTTCTGGATCACAAAATAAACTTTTAACATATTTTCAGTCGAGAATGGTGCTGCGTAAACTTCAAATATCTGCTCGATTCATCAAGACATATTTGCAAAAGTGCTCTAACGTTTTCGGAGATGCCTGTTACCCACCAGACATCTCCGAAAGTGGTCAAGGCGCGGCTCCCGGCACATCGTTTTCACATATTTCACACATATTTTCACGGACCGGCCTTAACGTTTCGTGAATAAATACAAGAAAATAAAATGATACGACCAAAACAAAAACTGTGGTATTTTGAAAATATAATAATCAACGCAAATTCACGGCGTAATTGTGTAACTTTATTAGAAGCGTCCTCCTGAAATGCGCCAACAACATTGAGAGTAACATCCTCCTCTCTCCCCTTTTGGTCGATATGGTAACGCCTAAATATTTATTTCAAAATAAGACCCACAACTACAAAACAAATGTAAAGTACGTGAAAATTAGAGATGGACCGATCCGATATTACGTATCGGTGCGATACTGACCTAAATTACTAGATTGGATATCGGAGAGAAATAAAAAACGTTATCCGATCCGAAGTATCACAAAATCACCTCACAAAACGCGCTACTTGGCCTAACCCAGCTCAGCGCATCAGAGCAGTATGTGACAGAGCTGCTGTTGTCTGCAAGAAATGTCAGTGGTCTGGTGGAGCATTTGGAGCCTTGCTACCTGCTTCCAAACCGCAGCATTTCATCTCAGAGAAAACTATCCCAGAGAAGTAAAACAAGTGTGTAACTGCATCTCTGAATGTTTGCATAGTATTTCAATGTTTACCTTAACAACTGATATATGGAGCCACAACTGGACTGGCCATCGGAGTTTCATATTGAGGCGAAAAGGAAGCGATTTTTCCTGTACATCAGCTAGAATGAAAAAAGGCACAAAGCTGGAGTTATTCTGTCTTTGCTGCACAGCTGCCTCTTCTTCTCTCATTCTCTCCCCTCCCTCCTTGTTGCTACTTCAATTATGAAACTGATCAATGATCAGCTGATCGGCTTTTCTGTCGCAAGTCCCGTCTTACTTATTTGTTTATCGCCCACTTCACGCCAGAAAGAGGAGACCAGCGGATAAACAACAGCAGCACGTTTAAGCTTGATCAGCTGTTGTTAGAATTTATTTAATATTAATTTCTAGTATCAGCTGATGTTTGCTGGAGCCACAGCTGTAAACCTGCTGGTCATGATGGTTTGGATATGTGGTGAGAGGGAAACATGAAGATGAAACCAGGAGATGTCCTTACTGAACCATCAGAGCTGTGATGGAGAAACAGGTTTACCTTTTAGGTGACATGAATGAGTTGAAGTTATGAACTGTTTCTGAGAGACAAATAACACCAGGATCCTTTTCTATGTAGCTGACAGCTGGTAACTGTGCAGGGGCGGGTCTAGCAAAGTGTTGCCAGGGGGCAGGTAGGGCATTAACAGGGAGAGGGGGGCACAAAGAAATACTTTTCTTTGTTATTTCATTAAAAATGACTAACTTTTAATAAATAATAATTCTCTTAATCTTAACCAAAATGGTCATCTGATTACATGTATAGAAGTCCATTACTGTATACAGAAACTGTTATGTCTAATATACACTAAGCTATAGTACTTGTACCATCTGTGCAGTCTGCAGTTCTGTTGAAGAAAGATGTTGAGTCCATTTAAATATTGTAGAAAAATAATTGATTTCTGTGTATTTGTTTTACACGTGCATTAAATTAAAGTTGATTATTCAATTCAATTCAATTTTAATTATATAGCGCCAAATCACAACATAAGTCGCCTCAAGGCGCTTCATAGATACAGAGAAAAAAACCCAACAATCATATGACCCCCTATGAGCAGCACTTTGGCAACAGTGGGAAGGAAAAACTCCCTTTTAACAGGAAGAAACCTCCGGCAGAACCAGGCTCAGGGAGGGGCGGGGCCATCTGCTGCGACCGGTTGGGGTGAGAGAAGGAAGATGTTGATTAAGCATTGTGAGGTAGAGGGTGGGGGGGTGGTTCCCTAATATTTTTGATGGGAAGTGGTAATCCTATTAGTTAGGCTGTTTAATATTTCTGCTAAGTGCTCTTTAAGAGACCAGAGTAGGGAGGATGGTGACAGGTAAGATTTAAAACGGTCCAGTTATGAAGCTGAACTTTAATCTCAGCCAAACCGATTTACTCATGAACAAATCAAACACTGAAATAAACCAAACATTAACATTTAGCAGTCTTACATATATCTAAGACTTATATATCGTGTTTAACCCAAGTAGTGAAAGACCGCAGGGGGTTTGAAAATGATGTGCTGGGAGTCTGCGCCTTGACCACCCAAAAATTGTCCGACTACACCACCAGGTGTTACAGGAAAAACCATAAAGCCTTTGAACTAAAACAAACGCTGTTGTGACAGTGATGTACACTGTCTTGTTGGTATATATGTAGGATTTGTATACAGTGGATCACCTTTATGTTTCCAAACTGACATCATGACCAGCAGCTTAAACAAACAAGAGAGAAAAGCCGATCAGCTGATAGGAGAGGGAGAGAATGGGAGAAGAGGCAGCTGTGCAGCAAAGACAGAATAACTCCAGCTTTGTGTCTTTTTTTCCATTCTAGCTGAAGTACGGGACGAATCACGTTCCTTTTCACCTCAATACGGATGTGTTGTAATTTCTCCAGCCCACAGTTGATCATGACCAATTGGCTAATCCACCACCTTTCATTCTTTATACCGTTACAAAAACAAACAAACAGAAATGAAAAATCACCATCGGCCCACCGGTATGCCCAATGGCCAGTCCAGCTATGCGCTCAGCTGGTGTAGTATGTCACAGTGACATCCCAAAGCTTTTTTTTTGCTTGGGAATTACTGAATCTATCTAGAGCTGGGAGACAGAAGTCACGAATGGAAAGAAGTCAAACTGTATGTGGTCTATTTCATCACATATGTGCAATATTGGATACATATGTACCTGACATCTTCCATTAACACACAGGTCCACCTCATACGGTCCACAGGGAGTCCCATCCATTACTCTGTCAGCCATCAGAACTGGGACGTCTCGGCCCACTGGGCTGCAGAACAACATGCATGGCTTATCTGCTCATAAACACACACAAAATCCAGTTGTAAGATGTATGCATGTATGACAGTCAAGTCTGATTTTGAGCCGGTGTTAATTCAAAATAATAGAAATATTAATGGCATGGTGAACTGGGTTCACAAACAATGACTTCTAAAAGTATTCAGTGACAGAGTCGTGTCAGCTTTTAATGTATTGCTGCCTGACAGGCATCCAGTACTGATTTCTGTTGATTACATTATGTACTATAGATGATGAATTACTCACAGAAATCTTTCTAGAATTTGTAGCTGCAGTTTTTAAACTGATTGGTGAAACTCAGCCTGGTACCATCCAACCTAATTAGTTTCAATTGTTCTTTGTACGGTTTCTTTTTAGTACCACTTCATTTTCCAGCCATTTGTTTTCCCGTTAAGTGTTGCTGCCAACAAATTAAAAGTAAGCTAATATTTTTCATGAAATAGTAAAATGTCTCACATATTTTCTGTGTTCTATTGGGAATAAATTACATGTTTGCTCAATTTTATTGGCATTTTACACAGCCTCCTTTTTCTCTTTTGTGGAATTGGGGATGTACATTTCTACATTCAGTATAATTTAAAAAATACAGGCAGCTGCCAGTTCTATCCCTTAGCTGTCCAGTAGATACACTTATGGTATCAATTTAAAATTCCCTTCGCTTTGTTCTCAAGTTATCACATTCACAAGATTTTCAGCTAAGGGGTAAAAACTGTATTCAGTGTTATTCTGGAAAAATGAGTAATGTAGTTATTCAGAAAAAACATGACTGGAGGACTTTACCTAACAGTTCTGTGCATACAGTGTGAGCTTTTACTTTTTACACTCCAACTGGAGTGATTTAAGTGGTTTTTCTTACCTGTTCTGTACCTCTGGGATCCAATCACCCAGGGGTCTAGAGCAGGGGTCCCCGACTCCAGGCCCCGAGGGCCGGTGTCCTGCAGGTTTTAGATCTCATCCTGGGTCTACACACCTGAATCAAATGATTAGCTCATTACCAGCCTCTGGAGAACTTCAGGACATGTTGAGGAGGTCATTTAGCCATTTGAATCAGCTGTGATGGATCAAGGACACATCTAAAACCTGCAGGACACCGGCCCTCGAGGCCTGGAGTTGGGGACCCCTGCTCCAGAGGATGCTCTCACATTTAACTTATTTAATATATTTGTGCTGGCATCCAAATCAGTTGAGTTGATTGGTTTGCCCCAACTCAAAACTACAATATTTTTAAACGACTGCCTCGTACACAGCAGTGTACCCATCCCAGACTCAGTACTGGCTTGTTAATGGCTAAAACTGTGGGAGCAGATATTGGGGTAAACAAAGCATAATCCAATATGATGCATTAACCTAACCACTCATGTTACTGACATTATGGATTAAGAGTTACATATGATATATGTCACGGTGCTCTGTGACCCACAGTTCTCTTTATGGTCTTGTGCTTATGTTATAGTTTCAGTCTTTAGGTTTCTGTCTCTGTGTTTTGCTGGGTCTCACTTGTTTCGTGGTCTCTGTGCTCCACGCTCTCCTCTGTCAGTCTCCATGTCACAGTGTCAAGTCCACGTCTTTGTGAATGTGTCATGATTCCTGTTTGATTTTGACACTTCCTGTGTTCAGTGTTTTCACTTTTGCTTCCTTGTCTTATTATATGTAATTAGTCCCAGCTGTTTTTCCCTCATTATCCTCTGTGTATTTATATAGCGCCAAATGACAACAACAATCACCTAAAGGACAACCTTTATAGCACTCTGACTGTTTGTCAGCCTGGCTACAGAGCTGAAGAGAAACCTTCTTATTGTCTTCAATCAGTGATGAATAGTAAGATGTTTTAGTTTTACAGAGGGCTTTCTTATAAAGCAGCAAACTATTTCTCCAGGATAAATGATGATCTTGTAAATTTGTGACACGCCATTTCCTCTCCAGCTTACGATTTATCAGCTTTAAAGTACGTGTTTGAGAATTATACCACGGAGTCAGGTACTTCTGATCTGAGCCTTTAGTTTTCACAGGAGCTACAGTATCCAGAGTCGTACGTAGTGAGGAGGTGAAATTATTAACAAGATAATCGACCTCTGTTGGAGCAGTGTTCAGATAGCTGCTCTGCTCTGTGCTGGTACAGGGCATTGAAGATGATAACAGTGGGTGGATTATATTCTTAAACTTAGTTACAGCGCTTTCAGAAAGATCTGCTGTGATGAAGCCTACTCCTCCTGATGAATGTTATCAGGAAATGATCAGACAGGAGAGGGTTTTCGGGAAACACTGTTAAGTGTGTGATTAAATTGGTGGATGGGTTCTTTTACATTTTGAGAGAAACCAAATGAGTCTATTAACGAATGCCGTGCTGAGGCTGTCATTTTTAGCATTATTTCAGCGAGAACTAAATCAGATAAAAAGTCTGAGAAATCAGACAGAAACTCTGTGTAAGGCCCAGGTGGACGATAGATGATCACAAATAAGATTGGTTTTTGAGTTTTCCAGCTGTGGTGGACGAGGCCAAGCAGCAGCCGCAGGGGTCCAGAGCCACGTCTGGACCCCAGAGTTCTTGAATCCATTCAGCCTGTTCAGTCGTCTGTCTACGCTTGAAGCTCAGCCGGGCAGTCTTAGCCTCCTGTCTCCGCTGAGAGCTCAGGCAAGCCAACCCAGCCTCCTCCGTTGTCTCCTGGGGAATCGGGCGAGCTTATCCAGCCAGCTACTTACTCGGCATTGCTGTCCGAGCCTGAGAAGTGTGCTGAGTGGACTGTGTGCACTGCGCAGCTCCGACCAGCTCTGTCTGTGCCAGAGGCCTCCACACCGTCTGGTTCTGATTCAGCTCCGCTCGCACCACACATGACAATATATGATTTGAAAAGCATTGCCATAGTTTTGAAACTGACATCTGATGCCCAGACATGCTTCCAGACAAATTTATAAACTGCCGATGTGCTTCAGAGTTTTACAAACACACTATTGAAAGGCACTGATTGTAATGATTGTAACTGTGCAGTACGACGTTCTATGGAACTCACCGTCATTAACAATAGCAGTCAGCATGCCGCCCTTCTTGTTGGCTTGTTGGTTATAGGATAGACACTGCAAATCTCTGAAGCTGGGTGACCCCTTGGGACAGGGAGGGGCTTCACAGGCCTTGTGTTCCACACTGGCCTGTGGGCAGTGTCGCCCACCTGGACCAGGTCTGTGCCCACACACACAAACACATACAGTGTGAACACTTAGTTTAGAAAACAAGAAGACTGGAGCGTTAGTATTAAAGTAACACATGTAAGCATTACATACATTTCATAATGCCTGTAAGGACCTTTTTAGTACTAAAAGCAGTATTTATTTAAACCTTATTCAGTAGATTAATACGTGCAAAGTGCCTTAAACCTCATACTTCTTTTTAATAGCCAGCAAAGGGACACCTCTTCTGATTGCAAAAAGACCCTTGCTATGTGACCACACTTTATATTAGCTTGTGGTCTTAATCAGCAGCTGCAGTGTTTCTGTTTCACAGTCAGCATATGTAATATATAAATGAATACATTTTTCAGAAATTGGACATTTCGTGCTATAAATCCTTTGTAGACTGATCTCATGAAATATTCTAATCATTTGGCATACTTACCTTTGAATTGTTGTGGGATAAAAGCCACCATCCAAATGAAAATGAAAAAAAAAATCTCGAGATATGTTAAAGTTTACCTTTGAGATTCATTCACAAAAGAAAAGTTTTTGCAATATTTTAATTTTTCAGTTATATTAACTTCAAATACTTGTGATGTTAATGAGACCAAATTTGAAATCATAACAAAATGCCCCCTCTTTGCTTTCTGGTCTCAGGTAGGCGAATGTATAACATTAGTAAGCAAATACACAGACAAACTGGTGACGTACGGAGGGTTGTCACATTTCCTCTGTCTGAACTGGACTCCAGTACCACAGGTCCTGCTGCACAAGCTCCACTGGCTCCATGGACTCCAGTCACCATCCACATGCTGAGGGATGGGAGTCTTACTGACACATTCGCCTGCCCTGCACCACTGACAAAAACATATTGAGATGTTTTCACAAATGCTTTATTCGTAATTTATTCAAGCTAACACGCAATATAAGCTACTGGCCTGAACGACCTGTAGCTCTGAGGATTGGTGAATGGATGCACATTGTTTTTGAGCAAAACAGTCCTACCTTGTCTGCCCCACACTCCGTTCCGTCCAGGGGAGGATCCAGTTTAGTCTTGCAGGATGTCTCTCCCTCTATTAAGCACCACAGCCCAGCACACATGAGGTGCTGAGACATAAAGATGATAACATGAATTCCCACATAAATGCCGGTGTTAACATAATATGTTCAATGTTTCGATTAATTTACCACCAAACTCTTTCAAAACATATTGTTTCTTTTCTCTTGTCTTTTTAGTCAGTAAAGTAAACACAAAACTTCTTGTTAACATCCCACAAAAAAAACAAAGCATATGAGCATCTACTGCTGATGACAAGATAATAAATATATTAAACAGAAAAACGAAAAGGAAAAAGGGACCTGTCTCCCCCACAACTCGAGCTTGAACACATGCCCTTCATCCCCAGCGGGTGAGAGGAAGATTTTTATACATACAGTATTTTTAAACCATTAATTTTGTTAATTTCTTCCAATGAAAACAAATGGTTTTGTGGAATTGTTAGACCCTTACTTTTCATACTAAAAATGCTATCAGCTGGTCATGGGCAAAAATATTTGAAGGACATTATTGAAAAAGTTTGAGAAACAATATCCTCGGTGTACATATCTCTAACCACCAAATCATGTAAATATACTACACTGTCCATCAACCCACCAATATGGTGCTGAAAGATGGCTTTTGCATTCCTCAAACCAAATGCCATCACATTCTAGGAATACAACCAAGATCAAGTAATAAAAGCTGTCACTTCATGTGCTCTTTTTGACAATGCACCTGTCAGTAACATTTTCTGATCAAACCACAATAAAACCTTTCCTCTTTCACTCTTTTGCACCAACAACCATGGAGCATGTACTCTACCTCAGCTTCTAGACATTTATGGTTCCAAAGACAAACTAAAAAAGCTGGAAAATAGGCTGTGCATCCCCTACATCAAGGTCATGCTCCACTCAATCTGTGCAAGAAAGCACATCACCTAGCAAACACAGATACTGTATTTCAAAATGAGTTTACAAGCCTGAGCTTCAGGCAAACAGTCCGGATTCCACTAGCTACCAAAAGGGGACTGACAACTGTATCTCCTCCTTGACAAATAGGAGAAGACATGACAAGGTTTTAACAAATTAACATGAAATAACTTCACCGGCTTCTGATGACCGGGAGCTGAAATCACATAGTTCTTGGCCTATAATGGTGAACTCACCAGTGGAGAAAGAGCCAAGGACTAAACTGACACAACTTAGCGCAGCGATCATATCTCTCTTTTATTTTAGCCTGTGATGCAACCAATGTCTCCCTTGCCAGCTCACCTGCAACAAATAAATTGTTGCCTGAACCCATTCACATAGTCATTTAAATTTGTTGGAGTCTCTGTGGCCACCCATCCTTAAACACAGATAGTGGACATCTAAAAATATATATAATATGAAAACACTTGAACTCAGTGCATGATAAGGAGATGACTTTTGCCTATCCCCCAGCAATTTTAAAACTTGGGCCAACAAGTGAGAAAAAACAAATGTGTGACACAGTGTGTGTAACTTTAGGGTAAGTTTATATTAGTGCTGTCAGCAACGCGTTAGCGCGGTTAGCTCGTTAGCGCGGTTAGCTTGTTAATGCGTTAGCACCGTGCAGCCCCTCGAATGGGGCGATCCGCGTTATCAAGCTAACGGAGATTTGCCGCATTAATGCGGTTATGGTGTTAACTTCATTTTAACGAGATTAAGGCTGTCAGCACTAGTTTATATACTTCAATCTGTTGTTTTTTATGGTTTTGGTTCTCTTTGTTGTTTTCTGCTTGTGTTATATTTATAGTTCCAAGTCTTTAGGGTTCTGTCTCTGTGCCCTACCTGTGTTCCATGTTTTTTGTTTAACGACTCTTGTCTCAGAGGTCTGCGCGCCTACCAGATCACATCCTGTATGTCCACGTCCTGCACATCCTGCTCAGCCATCAACCAAACCACACTGTCACCGGTCACCTTTCAGGCCCCCTGAGGTTCCCTGCTTCCCTTTTCTCCCTCGTCAGGATCCTGGAGGGTCTCTTCTTTGTCACCGCCATTGTCCTCCAGATCCATTGGCTGAGGATTATCGCCATCATGGGTGAACCTCCAGATCTGCTCCGCAGTCGCTGCCACTTCCCACAGCGGTCGGCCTCCAGAATTGATTCATCACCACCGCTTCCAACGTGGCCGGCCTCCTGAACGGATTCGTTGCTGTTGTTGCCCACTCGGTTGGCCTCCTTAACTGTCTCCTTGCTGCTGCTTCCCACGTGACCGGCCTCCTGAATTGTCTCGTTGTTGCCGCTCCCTAACGTGGACAGCCTCCAGAGCTGTTATCGCTGACGCTTCCCACACAAGTGACCCACCGAAATGTTTTCTTTGTTTGTTTTTCTTGTTGTGGACTCGGTTTTTGGTTCCTGTTAAATAGTCTGTATTTACATTCATGAAGGCAACTTGAATTGACCAGAAAAAGATGTTTCTTTTCACCACTGTAGCCTAGCTGTCAAACAATCAGATCTCTGTTGAGCAAAGCATTCATTTAAACTTAACTGCTAATGACTTTATAAATTTCTTCACAAACAAAATGTTAACCATCATCATAATCCTCTCACAGACATATCACTGCATACAGCTACTTTCAGTAGAGCTGATTTATTTGGACTCTTTTTCTCCAACTGATCTCTGTCAGTTAAGTTTAGATCAATGTGTCTCCTAGCATCTCCATTAGCACCTCCATTCCTACAAGACTGTTCAAGTCCTATCATTAATTAAGGGTTTGGGATTAATTAGGATTAATCTATCTCTATTAATAGCCTATATACCACAGACTTTTATGGTGGCAGTAATTAAACCACTAATTTAAAAAAAAATCATCAAGACAACTCACCCATCACTGGGGTGAGGTTACTGAGGTAGTTACACAAATCCTCGGTGGCCGTGTCCCTTGGGTGAATGAGGTTCACCCATAGTTCCTAAAGGCTCTGGATGTTGAAGGGCTGATCTGTGAAGGTCCCTCTGGATTGACAGTCTTAGGTGATGGTTCCCCTGGTTAAGAAGTGGGACCAGAGGGTGTGCACCAGCTATAGGGGGAATTGCACTCTTCAGCCTCCCTAGGAAGGTCTAAGCCAGGATGCTGGAAAGGAGGTTTTTGTCCTGGTCATGGAAAACTGAACCAGTCTAAAAGTGTTTTGAGGACTTGGATAAGGTGCTTCGGGAATCTCTAGGCATAGTCAAGCGGCAGATTGCTTCCACATGGGTGGTTTCAAAATCTTGTCTCTGCTTTTTTGCAGATGATGTGATGGTGTTGGCTTCATTAGGTGGTGACCTCCAGGTCACACTGGAGTGGTTCACAGCTGAGTGTGAAGCAACATGAATGAGAATAAGCACCTCTAAATTTGAGGCCATGGTCCTCAGTCACAAAAGGGAGGAGTACTCACTTCAGGTCAGGGGTGTGTTGCTGTCCCAGCTGGAAGAGTTTAGGAATGTAGGGGACTTCATGAGTGAGGGGAGAGGGAAGCGAGAGATTGACATATGGTTTGGTGCTGTGGCTGCAATGATCTGGACGCTGTACATGTCCATTGTGGTGAAGAGATAACTCAGTGTAAAAGCAAAGCTCTCAATTTGCTGGTCGATCCATGTCCCTATAGAGATTGTAGACACAAGTGGCTGGCCTCTCCCCTAGAGGTAGGGTGAGGAGTTCAGGCATTCAGGGTTCAGAGTAAAGCAGCTACTCCTCCACACCAAAAGGAGACAGTTGAGGTAGTATGGGTATGATGAGGATGCCTCCTGTTCCTGGGCGCCTCTTGGGTGAGGTGTTCCAGGCATGTCCTACTGGGAGGAGTCCCCAGAGAAGTGCCAGGACATGTTGGAGAGATTATATCTCTCGGTTGACCTGGGAACACCTCTGTGCTCCCCCTTGGTAAGCCAAGAAGGTGGCTGGGGAGAAGGAGGTATGGGACTCTCTACTCAGACTGCTGCTCCTGTGAACACGCCCCTGATAAGGGGAAAAAGATGGATACATGGATGGATAGATAGATGAGTATGCTATAGGGATTTAAGGCAAAGCAATGCAGTGGTTTGAATCAGATATATCTAACTGACTCCAATTTGTTCATGTAAATGGGGAGTCTCTACAGTTATGAAGTTTGACAAGGACCAATCAGAATCAGAATCAGAATCAGTTTATTGCCAAATGTTGAGCAGGTTTACAACATTAGGAAATTGCTGCGGTGCTTCAGTGCAAACATAGTGTCATAAATTGCGATTAAATAGACATGAAAAAAATAAATAAAAGTAGGAATAAGAATTAAAAGTGCTATGTAGAAAGATATGTGCATGAGATATACATGAGATATATACATG